CATATATATGTATATACATGCAAATATGTTTTCAAAAAATTAAAAACTTTAAAAGAGCTTCTAAATATCTCATTAATAATTTAATATTAATATGCAACTTCTTTTAACTCATATGTATAACTACACACGTACTAATTCATTAATAAAATTTCTATCATTTTTCGACTCTTTACGTGATTATTCTATAGAACAAAATTGAAGTCAAATAGTATTATAAGAGAAATTGAATGACGCATATTTTGTCTATTCCGAATTGAAATCTGGGGAAGAATGTCTCGAGACACTGGTGGCTTCCGTCATAAGATTATGAAGATTAATTAACTGCAGAAACTGTGCTGTGCGCTAACGTCACTAAATTGAATCTCAGGCGGGTTCCTGATTTATGGCGCCACTGCATTGAAACTTTTTCCCGCGAAACGCTTGGATTTGCATCGCATTAAGATTCACGGTCTATCATTCACGGAGAAAAAGAATCCGCCATTTGTACTTAACTTCTTCCAACAGACGCCCTTCGAGGGTAATTTCGACTTTATCTTTTTATTTTTGTCTTAACAAAAATTTTTATTTCTGGTGTCGACAAAAAGTAAAAAAAAAAACATTTAATATTAAATATTACTTTAATTTAATATATATTGTATTCATAAAGAGAATCTAAATTCAATACATATTTCACATACTTATCAGAAAGAAAATGTACAATGTACACTTTAATGCTATTATATCACAAAAAAATTAACTACCATAGCTAAATTTTAACTGTCCCTATTTTGCAACCTGAATTTTAATTATTGTACCAAAATTTTAGCTATGGTAACTAATATTTTTAGCTATAGTTTAACGAAGAATGATATAGCTAAAAAATATTAGCTATCATAATTAAAATTTATGATAACTAATTTTCATGTTTAATATAGGAACAGCTAAAATTTAACTATAATAGCTAATGTTTTTTCCGTGTATTAATGTATAAAATCTAATTGAAGATTATACAAAAGCGCTATCATTGATAGAGTTCAGGAAACGATATTAATTGAATTATAGTGCTACAATTCATCCAATTTCGTTATACAATTTAATTACCGCGTAATATGGTAATGATATGTGGGTATTAATTACTTTTCACACCCGATATAAACTATAACGCGATATTCTAGTTCGATTGACATTTATTAAATCAAGCTTTGAAAAGAAGGAGAGAGTATGTTATGGAAATATTAATTCATATACGTTCATACAAAACATACATGTATAAAATCGCTCTCAATTGCGATAAACTTTACGTTTCGTGGATGAAAATTGTTTGCAATACAATATGGTAATGTTTGAGTGATCGAGTGTCGCTCTTTAATTACGGATATATTTCGATTTAATATAAATCAATATAAATTTGACCCGTTATTTGATTTATATATATAGGTTAAATCTTTTTTATTTCGATTTATAACACCGTACAATAACGCAGAAAATAGAGATAGATTCATTTTAAGCAGTAGTAGCTTTTTATGGATCTTAAATAGATATAGCGATAGCAAAATCACTTCTATTAAGCAAACTCTTTTGTTATCCCAAAATTAATATTAGGCAGATAAAAAAATCTGCAATGATTCTAAAAAATATAAAAATAACCAAGAATGACTTACATATAGCATGTATCCATACATATATTTTTTCACCTACTAACATTTAATTATAAAATGAATAAATTGAGAATCAAGACGTCAGAGCTTTTGCAATCGATATCTAGATTATAATTTCACTAAATTAATCCGACAACATAAATGTGACTATTCTAATTTTATCTGTAAACTGCAAAACTGACACAAAAAATTATGACGTTATTACCAAGCTAATCCGATAACATATTATATTTTAAGAAGACTTAGAATATTCTCTATTATATGTATAGAAAGAAAATAAAGATCATAATAGAAAATAGACGTCAATTATAAAAATAAAATGCTTTAATAATTTAGACATTTCCGCTATTAAGAATACATATCAGTTAATTTTAGAAGAAAAAGCAAAATTAAAAATAACTTTTTCAATTCTAATTTCTTGCATATATTATACATATTGCATTGTAAATGCTTTATATCATCAATTAACGAGCAAATAAAATAAATTTTAAATTATTTACTGACACTTTTAACGTTAATTACATCAAAGAAATATACTACAAAAAATGCATTATATATAATGGGGCAAACACATTATGTGTGTGTCAACATTTTCCTTCATTTTCATCTTTAAGAATCGAAAAAAAACCAGAAACGTTCATGTCTCCATAAAGTTCAAAGACACGAATCTAAATTCCCGCTTTTGTAGTCACTTCTATCGATTCTGCCGCTTTTCTTTCACCGGCCTTCAACGACATGCCATCGTTCTGACTGCATTTGCCCGACATCGCCAGGCATAACAGTTCGAACGAAGAACTTTAAATCCTTTCCGCAATCTAGATTTTGTTTTCGGCGCCGGCCGTGCAAGACGACACGCTGGGGAACCACGAAAGTTTTCAGTCCACGAGACGCCAATCTCGAATTTTCTCTCTTGACGCAAATTTACCCCTTCTCTTAGCGATGTGTATACAGAAAAACAAGTACATTTGTCGTCACAATGTTTCCTATGACTTGACGTTTTATGTAAGATATGCTGCATTTATTCTAAAAGAATGTACTATTAGTCAGAAAGCAAGAGATACTTAAAAAAATATTCCAAAAAATAAAAAAGATAAAAAATATTTGTTGGTAATTAAATTTAATTTTAAAACGATATTGTATAAATTTAAAGAATATTCTAAAATATTACATAAACTAGATTTTTATTTTTATTTTGTATATTTTGATATTACTCCATAATTTATTTTATGTCTCTATTAATTCTTAAAAAAATTGTTAGCCTATTATATATATTGATAAATAAACTATTAATTTAAATTATTAAAATATAATATAATATAAATAATTTAAATTATGAAATTTTTCACAATTCTGGAATTTTACTCATGAAACAACTTTTGTTGATGTTAAGAGAATTAATATAACCGCGAATATAATAAATGAAATAAAACAAAATTAGGAAATTATAATTCGTTACTTTTTGTGTCAAAGTCTAATTTAGGAAAGGATTACATTTGTTGAATACGTTACGAACCAGAAAACGAAAAGTGGAACTGACATTCCCTAGCAGGAAACTACGAAACATTCTGTATACGCACGCTCTCAGCCAAACGATTTCTCTTAATTTCGCGAGGCGACGCCCTAGAAAGCAAACAAACGGATAACACTCTCGTCCCAGCCCGTCGAGCGAATTTAACGATGGGGCGCCACGCGAGTAGATATATTAACTAGATTTTTCGTTTTTTTTTATCTTTTGTTTTTTGCGTCAGTGCAAAGTGTGCGCTGTTTAACTAGATTCGTTGCAATTTGCGAACATAAAATGGCACAGGTAAAACGTAATCATAATAGTAGATTGACCAACATTTGTCAAAAAATTAAAAATAAAAAAACAATTAAAAACTAATATTTATAATATTCATAAAACAAAGTTTCTCAAGAGTAATACAAAAGATAATATATAATATATAAATATAAAATAAGACATTAAAAAATATGAGTTTGAGAAAAGGATTTTTATCATAATTTAAAAATGATCACTTTTTATCTAAATAATATGCTTAATTATTATTTTTAATTAAATATTTTTCATTTTTATCTAATTAATATTATTTAATTAAATAATAAAAAATAAATGTATGCCTAATAAACTATGTAATAAAACTTTGCTATATTTCAAAAACTAATCATTTTCAACTGCATATATGTATATCCGAATCTTTTTTTAATAGTTTGACATAAAGTCCCTAAAATTTATAACGTCTACCTTTTATTATAGCATATACGCGCGTACATTTATAACACATTCATGTAAACAATAATATTTATTAAAGCCATAAAACAGTCGATATACTAAGCCACAAGAATATATCATGCTTATATATGGACACTCACCTTTTTAATCTTCAATACAGCCTATTTCATAAGATAAAAAATCCAATACATATCCAATTTTGTCTTTAATAATAGAATAATAGAAAATTATCGAACAAATGATTGATTTTTGTTCTTTATCCTACTACATCTGCATTTTAAGCATACTTTACGAGAATAAGTGTCTTTTACAAGTGCAGGATATGATATTTGAACTAGTTTTAAAAATATATATAAAATATTTTTTATTTAATTTAAAAACAAAACAAATTATATAATTAACTTATAAATAAAATAATAAAATTTATTAATAAAATCCAATAATACAATTATTAATTATTAATATTTCCATAGAAAGAAATTGTTATAAAATAAAAAACTTATTTTTTTTCTCTCTGATCTGTATGCAAATGTTACCATTTTTTATAAAAAAAGATATTGAAAAATTTATATATTCGTTTTCAATAAGCAGCTCTAGATAACATGTATTACGATAATCCCGCACCGAGTTGGAAATTTATTGACACTCGCAAATTGGATCTCGTATACTCTGTATCCTCTTTTATTTCGAAAAATGTTGAATGACAAAATGAAAAAAATTAACAATTGACCTATATCAATTTTAAATCAAATATGACGTTGTATGTGAAAAAGCAATGGTGAAACTGGCGTCTGATTTTGTAGAAACTCATAAATAATTAAGAGTCCATTTGTGGCTTTATCTTAAATAATTTTAGAGTTCTTAATAGTTTAAATAAATAGTTCTGACTATTAAAGCAACGAAAATGCCATCGGACAAAGTGAAATGCTGCGTAAAGTTGACGTCTCAGCTTGTTCAGGACATTTTCATTGTTTTAATAGCCACAGAATTATTTGTTTAAACTATCAAGAACTCTAGAAATATTAAAAATAAAGTCAGAACTTTTAATTATTTACAAATTACCATGAAATAACACACATCTTTCACATATCCTCACCGCTACAGAATTATAAAATAAACAATTTCTCACTCACCGGTACGTACAATTGCAGCAAACGATGAGCGGAGTTGTAGCACACAGCATGTTGATCTGAAAACAAAATATTCAAATTATGTATATACATGTGTATGCATATACAATATAATACATATATAAGTTTTGAAAGTTTGGAAACAACCAAATATGTCATAAATAATGCAGTTTAAAAAAATTTTTTTTTATTTTTATACCTCTCAGTTGCCCCGCTGTTGCCCGATGTCTCCTCCTCCTCTCTTGGTAGCACTCACAACACTCGCGAAAATACGAATAATTACGATCGCCCGACACTTTACACGGCACTCTCGACGCGCGAAACTTTACACGGCACTCCCGACGCGCGATGTTTTATATATACGACACTCCTGACACGACGCGTGAATCGCACTGTATCACAATACTACCTGTAACAAATAAAAGACATGCATATGTTAGAATAATCTTATTATTATATTTGAGTTAAATACTAATATATGTTCAATTAATAAAATAGTAATTTATTTAAAAGGTTTAGTCAAGTTAACTATTTTTTTCTCAGTGTATAATTCTCAAAAATTGACTGGCATCTCATCTCAATATCTATTAGATATCTGGTTGTCTTTATTTTATCTTGATTTTTTCTGTTTTTAGAAGCTAGAATTCTTTTTAAAACTTATATCAACTACATTTTTTTAAAATCCTGATAATTACTGATAAGGAAAATGCCGTAAAACAAAGTGAGACACTGTATAAAGTTGGTGTCTCAATTTATCTCAAGGCATTTTCGTTGCTTTAATGACTAAAATCATTTGTTTATAGTATCAAGAACTCTAGAACTATAAAATAAAGCTAGAATTCTTAATTATTTATGAGTTTTCACGAAATCAGACGCCAGTTTCACACACGAGAAAGCAAGTATAAGAGAAATTTATATCAATAACACGAAAAAGCTCCGGATGCGTGCATGGTATTCAATTGCTCTTCGTCTTCATAATTTTGTGTGCTCTCTTTAACGAATGTATAATAAGATTCACAATTTAATTAAATACAATTATTATATTAGCATATATATTTTAATTTAGAATATACAAAGTTAGAATTGGAAGAAACTGATTTTACTGCAATATATGTATTACGTGATATACTACATGTCTCAATCATTTTAGAAAAAATATAAATTTTTATCTAATAAATATATCTATCAAAAATCTATAATTAACACGGTATAAGCCTTAGATGATTATGATATATCTCAAATATTCATTACTTTGCTTATTAATTTATTCATGTAAATTTTTAACTATGTAATACAAAATATGAGAGAATTGCAACTGAAATAAATAATGGATTGTATCGCGATTATTCTGTTATCTCACGCGTTAAAAAACAAAGATTCACGCATAGTAAAGTCTTTTTAATTAGTCATTTTACAGGTCCATTTGCATAGTGCAGCGTAGATAATAAAAATTTGCTGGCACAAGTAATCCGCAGTTTTCGTCGGCACAGTTTTAATTCCGTGATAAAATAAATGCGAAAAAATTCTACAATTAGGCGCAATTTTGCGCGATAAATGCACGCATAGAAGACCAACACAAACGTAAAGAATAGTCTCACGAGAGCGATGAGAGCTACTGGTGTATACCGCTACGAGATCATAATTCATTATGGTTGTATGTGCGCGAGACGTATTGTGAATACCTTAGATAGTTCACTTCATTTCACCTCCATCGCTTTATCATTAAATATTACCGGACCTACGTCGCGGGAGCTGCTTGCTCGAGCAATCCACAGCGATTTCATTGTTCACGTTCCGTAGCCTTTAGACTCATCAACATTATTAAGGATGTGTACATATACCGACGATTTCCGTCTGGCGTTTGCGCACCGAGCAGTGAATTCACACAAAAGCGGGAAATAATACATAACTGTCAAGTATAAGTGTATACAAGATGTCTCGGGTTTACGGAGCGAAAACACGCGGCGGCATAAACTAAGAGAAACAATAGTTGTTTCATTTGCCGAAAATTTGCATACATTAATAGTTATAAAATTATTTAATCTTAATCTGCCGCGTAAATCACGCGCCTAAATTTCAGCTTGGCTGAAAATTTTAATCAGGTCAGAGATAATTAATGTTAGAAATTAAAATTTGAAGAATGTAATTCTCATCAACTTTTTTTCTTAAGAGAGATATTTTTCGAGTTTATTAATTAAATGATTTAAAGATTAAATTACTTAAACACGCCTCAAAGAAGAGTTTAGTGTGATCGGTTAAGTAGTGAGAAGCAAAACATATACGAGCAGCAACATCCTATTATTGGAGAAAATTAGAGTTAACTTTACTTTAGTAGGCAACTTCAGTATGAGACTCCTATTTGCTAACCCTTTGTCGACCCTATTTGCCAACCTCAATGTTCAATATTTGATAGCTCGTTAATGAAGTATCGAGTTAAACATTTACAATACTTATAGCGTAGCAACTAAGTGAATGAGATATACTTCTACTCATTTACCATCAAGATATGATTCATCACGTATCACTCATTATAAAGTATAATGTACGCTCTTAACCTTGTTGATCCATTTAAATCTATTTCAAACTATAGTATGTTCATTTTCAAATGTTATACCTTTGCATATTCTATTATAACACTGTCAAATTCTATTTTTATATTAATTTTTCTTATTCCATTGTTAAATATATATTTATAAATCACAAAAAAGTAATAAAAAATGAAAATATATTCTATTAAATTAATGTTAAAACATCTGATCAACACGGAAAAAAATAGCCACCGCATAGCTAAATTTTTAACTGTCCCTACATTAGAACCTGAAATTTAATTATCATGCCTAAATGTTAACTAAGATAACTAATATTTTTTAGGTATAGAATTCTTCTTTAAACCATAGCTAGAAATATTAATTATCACATCTAAATTTTAGCTATGGTAACTAATATTAACTATAATTTAACGGAGAATGGTATAGCTAAAAATATTAGCTAAAATTCAGGCATTATAACTAAATTTCATGTTTGATGACAACTACAATTTATAGATATAATAGTTAATTTTTTTTCGGGTACTTATATATAAATATACACTAAAAAAAATTTGTTAACTTGACTAAATCTTTCAACTAAATATTATTTTGTTAATTGAACATATAGAAATATTTAAATTAAATATAACAAGACGTATATTTGACTTAAATACTAATATATATTCAATTAATAAAATAGTATAATTTAGCTGAAAAGTTTAGTCAAGTTAGTAAATTGTTTTTTCAATGGATATAATTAAAAAGACAAATATATAATTGAATTAAATTAGATTAGCTGTTTGTAGCCGAGATTATGTCAGATAATTCTCATGCTGTCAATTATGATATATGTAAATATATAAAGAGATCCGTCTCGTTGACATTAAAATATGCACACGTACGAATAAAGAGCGTCTATATCGCAAAGATCCCGGCGATACGTATTACGAGATCCTCGCCCAATTTCGCGAGCAGGCACACCGAGGCGGGTTTTCAGGGTGTCGTGTTTAGTGGCAATAAATTTCGGGGTTTGTACCTTAAGACGACCGGCTATACACATTCACACGCGTGCCTGCACATATGCGATCACACGAGAGTGTTGGTGCGGCTGTTACGACGGCATCGCGGAAGCAGCGCGACATTTTCCGTCATGGCAGCTACGAGGACATATTTAAGGTGTCCTCCGCGCGTCCTCATAATCTTCCCAATTTCCATTAGCGCCAGGTAATCCTTGCAGGAACACGTTTTTCACCCTTTTAGCTTAGTCCGTACTATACGAAATTCGTTATAAATCGCGACTTTTCTTAGAATATATTTTTATCTTATTAAATGCAACAACGAAATAATTAAAGGATAAAAATTTTTTAAATATAGATTACTTTCTTGCATATGAAATAATATCAAAAATTCATTATTAATATACGTACACGCGTATATCACAGAAAAAATATTATAACCACCATACCTACATTTTAGCTGTCCCTATTACATCTAAAATTTAGTTATCAATGTCTAAATTTTAGCTATGACAGCTAATATTTTTAGCTATAGTTTAACGAAGAATTTTCTGTTTAACTATAGCTAAAAAATATTAACTGCCATTCCTAAAATTTAACTACATGACAACTAAATTTTAGAGGTAATATAGGAACAGCTAATATTTAACTATGGTGACTAATATTTTTTTCTGCAAATATAATCCCGCTTCAAAGTATCTGATTCTTGTTTTTAATATGCGTCGTATGATAACGACGCATCATATATAATTTATGATATATAATTTATTTTGTCAACTAGCTTGCATACACTTTTAAGAGTCTAGTCAACGCGAATCCCCAAAGCTATTCATTCGCGCGACGTACGACAACAAGAACGTTGCTCGATTTCGTACACGACAGTGCGCGAGTTAACATAGCCGATGTGAACTGCGAACGAGCAAGATCTTGTACATAACTGGAATAATTGCATTACGAGTTTAACCGTTCTAACGAGAATAGCGCTAACGATTTCTCGTCAGAGTTTGCACGGCACTCCTCATTACGCGGGACGAACGCGTTGTGTCCTTTTAAACAGCTTTCCTAGACATCTAGATTCTGCTCCTTTCTCTTCTCCCTCTCTATATCTTTCTCTCTCTCTCTCTCTCTATCTCTCTTTCTGGATTCGCATGAAAGCACGCAAAGCTCCTGCCGCAGTACCGCACAGGACAAAGCGGAGTCAAGAAAGATGTCAGAATAGCGTTTCCGCGCTTTAATCCGCAACGCGCCGTGGTCTCGTTTCTTTGCGGACGGATCAACAAAAGCGGCGTTTCACGCATTTACGGTGGCAAGCAAGAGAAAGAGAACGCGAGAAGAGCAGCTGTATCTCGTGGAGATTTTGCTGCGGTCCGCAAGATAAACGAGTAGAGAATAATATTCGCCGCCTTTACCGCTCGCATGACAGATTTCGGAGTAAATTCGTAAATGTTGCCTTTCACTCATCCGTCGAATAAAAAAAAAGGAGCAAAATCAACGAAGATTTTAATAATAAACGGCTAAAGGCTGTAAATTTTAATGACTCTTTATAAATGAAGAACTCTATGCGTACTCGATATAATATAGAGCCCGTTGCAATTAAAAGGACAAGAATCATTAAATACAATAATTACAGCAATTAATACAGCAATTATTTGAGAAAGAAATTGTAGAAAAGAGCACAAGTGAAACAAGAGAGCAGAATATTCGGATTTTAAGATTCATCAGAAAGGTATTCAAGAATCAATTAAAAATATCGTTGGATACAGAAAAAATAATTAAAGTGAAATTATTAATTATTTTTAACGTATAAATTTTAATTTTAAACTGATTAAATAAAGTCCGTTAATATAATTATGACAATAATCTGTATTTTTCCTAAGCTTCTCATATTTTATAAAATTGTGAATATTATTTTACTATGTGAAGCATTAAAGGAATTAATTAATTATCCTGCTAATGTTTCCTGGATCGTTTAATTTCCAATTTTACTTCCACGAAAATTTCGTAAATGCAAATTTGCGCAAAACGTTTCAAAAACTTTTCATTAGAAAAAACGATCACGTCGTTATAACTTTACGTCGACCGGTGGCGCATAAACGTTCGTTACCACGTTGATAGTTATATCGATGTCGATGGAAAACCTGAATATTTTTGGCGTACGTCCAAATTTGCGATGAATTTGCAGAATTTCCGATAGCAAATTGAAAGAACGCGGCCGCGTGTAAAGAGCACGCGAAAAACTGCGCGAGACGAATCTCGACGAGCGCCGGATGAATTCCAGGACGCCCTCGATCGAGGAAAAAAGAGAGAGAAAGAGCGAGGGAGAGAGAGAAAAGTATAGCCCGCGATTCCTCTCAATTTAATATAATTGCTTTATGGGGACATTCAAAACGTATGACTTCATATGCCGAGGATACGCGCAAGCAATTACAATCGCAATCGCGCTGCGCCGGTACCGTCACAAATTATTTTCGCTCTGCCGCATGAATCACGCCCGGCAACGCCCGCGCAATCACGTTAAAATAAAATTTCCGTTCCTGCCACGTGTAATACACCGTACGAGCTAATTAGCGATAACCATAATACGCCGTTATATACGCCAAATCATAACTGTAGCCGCTTTTGTCCCGAAGTTAACAAAGTTAACGTCGAAATAGTGTGCGCAGACATGAAAACCAACGATTATCATTAATTTGTTGGTTTCCAATTTTCCAATAATGATGCTAAATCGTAGTATCGAATAAATAGTACACTTTTATATGTAACTATTCAGTATCATCGCCCAGATTATGAGAAAATGTCATTAGCAAGTTATTTGTAATATTTAATTTAAGAGATTTAAATTATATAATTTATATAAAAAATGCGTAAGAATTTTGTGAAAACTAAAATGTTCCCCAATTCTCGTACACATGTACACATAAAATTTAATAATATTAAAATATTGTGACAGAGAAGTCGAATTAAAACTTGATTAAAAAGAATAAATCATGCGCTAATTTTTTTTCATTGCGCATTAATATATCTTTTATAACTCTTTCGTCGCAACATTTATATAGAATATTAATATAAAAGATATTAATAAAAAAATAATTTTTCCAGAAAGTTTCGTGAAATCTCACAAGCAAATAAATTTGAAAAAAAACATAAAATGAAAAATCTATATTATGATGGCGTATTATGGTTACCACTAATTAGCTCCTACGGTATAACTCACTATTTGTATTAAAATGCAAAAATGACGTAAAGCTCATTATTACTGATATAAAGAAACGATTAAATTATTATTTACCAAGTTTTAGACACTTGTTTTCATGTAGCCACAATGTAACTCTGCCACGATGTAACTCTGCTACGATGTAATTTCTGCCAATAACAATAGATGAGCTGCATCTACGAACGACTTCATAGCATCTGTAAAAAACATTGAAATATTTAAAAAATCTGTGTTAAACAAATAATATATATATATGTATATACACATATATTATAAATTCTAATAACTTTAAAATTAATTAGAAGTTATATTACAATAATCATTTGTTTAAAAAGCTCAATATAAAGATTATTTTTATATGCAAATTTAATTTTTCTCACTTTATCTGATGTTTTCGCTCTCTTGTTTACTTGAGAACTATATTATTTTAATATAAAAAAAAACTGTTAATCTCGGCTCAAATTATTGTGTTACAATAAAAATAAAATCTCGACGGCAATCGGAGCCTGTGCGGATGACATGCACAAAATTAATAAATTAAAATGATATATAATTTAACATTATTTTCATATGTTCTAACAAGAATTAATAAAAAATATGAAAAATAAGACTTCTCCTGAAACATATATATTGTATGCGTAATCAGAAATTATCTTAATGCAATTACTGGAGCAATAAAAAATATATATAATATAAAATATATATATATATATATATATATATATATGTATATATATATATATATATATTTGTTATAGTATAAATAATCATTAATGAAGATACGGTAATGAATATTAAGAGTAAACCAGCATAAAATATAAATCAAAGTCATCCTGTTGCCTGTTATTATACTTCCTTTGTTACAAAGTCACATACATACATATTAATTCGAAATTAATTTCGATTGCGCGCATTAATTAATTGTCACTTTTCACGACACTCCTGGTACATTATTTATCTACGACACACTCCGAATATGTAAATTACGCGAAATACATGACATTTTGCCCGTCAATATCGACACTTCCAATATTTGTTACATATGCACGCGATGCATTTTCTATCGAGGAAAAATATAAACATTACAGTTACATTAAAATATTGCATAAACATAAATTAAATATCGTAATTAAGCGACTATCATATCGAATTAATACGCTCATTAAGTGTTACTTTTAATACTTTGATTTCGATTTGATTGCATTTGCAATGTTTTTTATATATAAATATAGCAAATATATAAATATACGAAATAAATATTTTTGCTAAATTAATTATATATACAAAAAAAAATAAGTATATCTCACAATAATCATTCATTAATATTTTCCGATATCCCCGCAAGCCTCCATACAAATAAATGGACGCAAATATACATATATTCAGTAAATCGATATATACAACAAAAATCATCTCTATTCTCAATACGCTATTAAAATTAATGAACGACGCAATTATGTTTTATATATTACGTTATTTTTGATACTCACAACGATTGTCTATCTTATTTTTCAGCACTCGACACTTGTCCGCATGCAAATTTTACCTCGGAATAATGCAAAATGCGACTCGAGGAAAAGCGCGAAATGCATAGCAATCGCGACTTTTACTCCCTCGCAGTACTACGTCATGTGACGTAATCAATCGACACAACATCAGATAACTTTACTCGATAAATGATCCAAGAGTTTCATTATTCTAAATATATATATATATACATTGCAATTAATAATTTAATTAATCAAGATGCAGAAATCTTTGTCCATTGCGTTAATGAAATGTGTCGATGCATTTATCGAGTGAAGTATTGTTCGATTCTTGGTTGCTATGCATTTTAGCACCTTTTCCTGAAATCAATAATGTCAGTTGTTATGCATTTTAGCGCCTTTTTCTAGAATCAACAATCACGGTTGTTATGCATTTTAGCGCCTTCTTCCGGAATCAACAATCGCGGTTGCTATGCATTTCGCGCATTTCCTCGCGGCAAAGTCGTAGTTCTCATTACTCGGGAGTGAAATTTGCGTGCGGATAAGTGTCGGGAGTGTCGAAAAATATTACGGGCGATCGTTGCGGAGTGTACGAACCAATATATATGTATCAAAGACAACTGAGACTTGCTAATTGTAACCTGCAGAGACAATTAAGACTTTTACTAATTGTAATCTGATTCCTACGGTCTACGGTCGCATCAAGTCGGACATATTTTTGAGAATTTCTCGCAAAATGGGCAGACACCTTACGAATAAAGAATTTATTGCAAAGCAACTTTCCTCGTATTGCAACAAAAATTCAAAATCATGGTGAGTGATCATTAAGAACGTTCAAATTATATTTATTTAATCAATTCTATTAAATAATTTATTATTGTGTGTGTATGTAGTAACATTTATATATGTATAATATTACTCATATTATTCATAAATGCTCCTATGTGTTTCATATAAAAATGCATATATATATAAAAATCGAAAATAAAAAAGGAATAAAATATAGGATTAAATGAATAAAAAGATAAAAAAAAATTAAATGAGCAAAATTATAATCGGATGATATAAAATAGCAAAACATGAATATAGCAGCAATAAAATCGAATAAAACAGTACCTCACATATTTTTAATAGATTTATACCATTAAACATGAGTTAAAAATTAATTTGTATATATAGCGTCAATCATTTATGCATAATATAAAAATTAATGATGCAATGGAAAGTATTTAATAATTAATTCCATCCATAAATTGATAGCAAGATATTTTTTTATTTTATTTTATGCAATGTATATTTCTCTAATCATATTTTTAATATACTATATTTCTTATATCGAGAATAACAAAATATATATAAACTATCGATCAGATTGTAGGCCCATCCAAATATTGAATAAACTAATATTTAATAATTAGAATTTTGAAATAAAATCAAGTATAACTATCATATAATAAAAAATGTATACTTTATTGAAAAAATGCACATTATCTGTGCAAATAATATTATTTACATAAAATATATTTTATTGGTCAATATTGAGCGAATTGAATGAAAAATTATAAATGCAGAATTTTTAATTAGCACGATCACTTGTTTTACATGATTATTATAATTTATTTTATTTTATTTTCATTATGCAAGATCTTTCCGCAGTTGCCTCGATACACTTTCGATAATTAAACAAATGAATATAATATCATATCTACATTTATTACCTTTTTAATTCCTACTGTGACTGTTAGTTATACTATATGTGACTTAAAAAACAGAATAAACGTCTATTTTTTTCATTTTATACATTAAACCTTATTAAATAACTGAGCATAAAACTTGTGTACATTGCAATTTATATGAGACACTTTTGTTAATTGGATTCGGATCTTTTTTCCTTTTTTTTGTGTACTTTTACAAGGTAAGTGATACGTACATATACATATGTGATGCAGGAAGGAAATCGTATGTAAACGAGAAGCGTGAATTAATTTGATAACAGATTTGCCGATACATTGTAAAAAGGATGATCATTTTATGAATAGAGTTACACAAGTACATATACGATTCTCCTCTCCCTTCTATCTCTGATATAAATTCTATGCTTATGCAGTAATAAGTTTGCATTTCCTCTACCATCCCCATTACGATTTTCTATTATTCTGTGTTAGAAAAAGCAGAATAAAATGAAATGTAAATCGCGAAAAGAATCGTGTTTAAAATTGCTTTCAAAGAAATAAAAATTTATTTTATATTTTTTCTTTATTCTTTTTTTTATGTACGGCATTTTTATGTATTATATTTTACAATCGATTAAAAAGCATATTTATTTGATGACCTGATATTTCTATCGTTTCTTAATATACTTTTAGGAATGGTTATTTTATAAAAAATATTTATAATTATAGCACGGATATTTACATATTAGAATCAATTGTTTGAAAAATTTTCATATTTCAGAGTTCCAAATTTGAAAATAGCAGTATGAATAGCAGTATGAATATAATATAAAATATAACAGATGTTAAAATTTTATTTCTCACTCTACATTGAAATTTAGAACATATGCATTATATGCAAAATTATATTTTTCATGCATATATTTCAAATTCAATATGAACGTACCACAAAAAATAATGCTATATAGATTTCTTAAAGATTAATTTAATCGAACTCTTTAAGCGGTTCTGCGGCTCGATTCTGCAAAGCAAATTGAAAATAAGATAACGCAATTACGTTAACGAGTAAACAATCGTGTTTTATAAAGCAAGGAGATCCCATGTAACATCAGATAAATTTACTAACTAATTACGGGCAAGTAACATGTACGAATTATTTAGTTTGGACGTATATTGAGAACGCCTCTCGATATTTCACTTCATTAATTAACCAGTTGATTTAATTTCGGGCGCAGCGAAGCAAGCTCAGTGAAAAGCATACATGCGCGATAAAACTCGTCGATTCTTTTCTTTTTTAACAACCACTTTCAAATAAAATAGAATTTTTGTGGTAGGACCCATCTGTCATTCAATAGTTGCATTGTACCATGATATTTGTACAATGAAATTTGTTCTGCGAAAATAACACAAGGGAATTTTTAAAAAGCAAGTGGGGCGAGATATTCCCTGCATTTTTTATCTTTTGTGCGCGTGTATTATTTCACTTTTTATTATCGCTAGGTGCAAAAAGCAGATTTAATTCATAGTTTCAAAGAAACATGTTCCCAAGTGCAATGCTACCTCGTTCATATGTTAGCCAAGTTCAATAATTGTTCATGCCATAAATAAAAATTTTACGTAATCAAAGGATTACTTCAACGTAGTTAGAATCAGAGAGCTGTTTAATTGGACACAGTTAAAGAACTGAAAATGAGTTTATATCGTTAATTTACCGTTGCCTTAATTAAATAAATAAAAATTTTTAATTAAAATTTATTTTGCATTTTGTTTGATTTTTTTCTATTTTTTGAAAACAATTTCAACAGTTTCAGAGAAAAAGATAAAATAATAATAAAACATAATAATAAAATGCACAGATTTGTGTGATTTATTAAAAATGAATTGTTTAAATAAGTATAAGTTTTATATATCATTTAATAGAAACTCAGAAAAAATTAAAAATTCTGACTTTTTTAATAATTCTATACTATCTAATAAAATGATCACGAGGAAACGCACGCATGGTTCAAATAAGACAGATGAATTTTGTTTAGAT